CTCCAGGGGCTTTCCAGTAACAAGTAAGGTAGAAAAAGGAGCTCAGAGGTTTTTTTTCTGAGTATACAGAAGATGTTTTGTTTATATCTTTAGATGAAAAAATGGTGGTATCAGAAACCCTATGTGTATATGTGCTTGTTTGCTCCTGGCACCCATCTCTGAGTGGCCTGAGGATGCTCTGGGGTGGAGGGGGGATGCCTGAAACATCCAGCTTTGATTGTGAAAATGGGTGAGTGGTCTGTGACTTCCAACAGTAGCAGCATGGGATATGGGGAGGTGACAAGACACCTGTATCTGTTCTTTAGGCTTGAGTCCACCAAAGAGGACATCAGGATTCTGTTCAAAATGCTGAAGCTTAAAATACCTGGAGGTGGAGCGGCTGAGGGCAGTTGTGGCAACTTGGAGAGTGGGCAGGGGGCTTGTGGGACCAGTGCTTTTACATGACTGGGGAGCTGTGCTATGTTCTTGTGGGTTTAGAGCAAACAGAGCAGGAATTGATACATCTTGAGTGCTGTGCTCTGTATTTGACATCTACGTGCGTGCACCTTGCGTGTGTATTCATTCTCACGGAGGCTCTTGCCTGTTTGCTCTCACACTAATGAGATATTCTCACTCATTTCTTTGTTACGCCAGCTCTAATTTCCAGCTCTTTGACACGAGCAACCATTTTTCTCTGAAAGGCTGTGATCGCATGGCAGGATTATAAATTTACTCCTGAAATGCACCATTAATAAATAATAAAGTGTTTATAAATATGCAAAATAGATTATTAGTCAATTCTACAAAATCTTGGCTACAGGAGCATAAAAGTGTGCCCTGCAGCTTGTATATCTATTATAAAAAAGAGGAAGGAACTAAAAAGAAATTTAGATTCCCTTTTTAACTTCCAAGCAGTAAATGCTGAATAACTTATTTCTGATAGTGATTATGTTAAAAGCAAACCATTTTTTTCCTTGAACAGCAGCAAACAACGTGCTGCAAATATGTGATTTTAAAAATATTATGTATATGCAGAGGGACAAAGTTGTTCATTTGAACAGCTCATTAAACAGGACCTCTTCAGCAAGAACCTCGCCTTGTCTGTGAGCATCCTGAGCAATACTATTGTTTTATTTAAGCTTAGCAAGCTTCAGGAATGCTAACAGTTTTTAAATAGTTCTGCCTGTTAACTATGGGAGCTCAGACTGGAACCCTGAATCATGGAATGGCATGGGTTGAAAGGGACCTTAAACACCACCCAGTTCCTTGGGAATGTGTGCTTGTTCATTGAGTTTCCCATTGAGACATGGGAAATGGAGGGTCCTGAGGATCTCAGCAGTGGATAACATCTGCCTTTCTAGCAAGACCCATCCTCACAGCAGGTTGTTGCAGCAATGTTTTGCCTTGTTAGTCCAAAATAAACAGACTTATTTCTCCTTTGCCACAGGTCTATCCACAAGGACATTGCTAACCTGTACCTGCAGGTAATGCACAGAAACTGGGAGTGGAAGTCAGGTAACTGGGAATTCGGTGGCAGAAATATGAGAGGAAGCTGAATGGCAAAAAGGGGCAGGAGGGGAAGAAGGAGAGGGACCACCACCTTCACTGCTGAGCTCTGAGAGCATTGCTGCACCATCAGCAAGAAGAACTAGTCTGACCCCCCAAAAAATTATCATATAGAGTAAAGGAAACAGCAGATATTGCCTAAAGAGACTGTTTTTTATTGTTTACCTGAGAATCATCTTGATGCCACTGGGATACTGTAGAAGTCTTATGTGAGGAGGTGGAGAGAGCCAGGTAATTTCAGACATCGTCCAAAAGGAGCTGCTGAGACAACTCTGCTGACAGCCAGGCAGAAATGAAGTGGGGAAATGTCAAATGTTCTTGACCTGAGCTTGAACCTTTATGAATTGAGGGCAGAGGGAGAGAGAAGTGTCCATAAAGAAGAGCTTCTCTTCAGCTAAATATGTTTGTATCAAGGCACAGACAGTCTGGAAACCTGTGGAGGGGGAAGAGCTGGGGGAGGCAAAGGATTTAGTAGTGGTGCTTCAAGGAACTGATGACAAAGAGTTTATTTTTGCTCAGCAGCAGTGCACTGATTATTCTGGGTAGGCATCAGAGCTCATGAGGCCCAGCCACATCAAGTGTCCCTTTAACAGACTTGTTCCTTGGTAAGAAATGCACATTTGAAACTCGAAGCTGAGGATTTACTGTGAGCAGGGCCAGTGAGTCTGGAGGGGAGTTTGGCTTCTGCAACCCTATAGCCCTGAGTGAGTCTCTCTCCCACCTATGTGTGTAAGTGGGAATTGTGCCACAGTTATTTCACTGGCATTCAGATTTGGCAGAGGAGTCTCCAAGGATGTTCTGTGCTGCCCAGCACAGGTCAGAGATGTTCAAACTGGCTCATTTGGCTTTTGGAATTGGTGAAGGTCCTGGGCAGGTATCTGGTGCTAAAATGTTGCTAGGCCAGAATAACATGTACATTGAATTAAATTATCTAGAAAGAGCCAGTGTAAGAAGCCCAGAGCAGTCAGGAAGAGGTTTAAGCAGATATGTGTTACCCTTCATAGAAAAGCCTTAAAATAAATCATCCTGGCTGAAGTGTGAAGTAGGTCATCTAATCTTTATCCCTCCTCATCTTTCAAAACAACAGTGTCCCATCTGCACACTACAGAGCTGAAACCCTGGCCAGAGAATCTGAGTCGTTGTTTCACATTCAGATCAGTGGGTTCCCTCCATCACTGGGAGGGATGGAGTGGGCAGCAACAGGCAACAGCTAGGAGTGTGTTCTCCAGCCAGGGCTGGCAGCCTTTGAAGGCTGGTAATTAAGATTGTAATCTCTTCCAAAATAGAGATTAAACATGCTGGTTGAAGCTTTGAAGCAACTGTTTAAGCTCCTCAGGACCTGCCTTCTCCTTCCTTTTGGCAGCCCAAGCAGGTTCTCCTCCCAGAGGTGGGTGGAGCTGGGCTCCCCTGTACTGCTTGTCCCCCAGTATAGAGGAAGGGAGTGAACATGATGATTTATGAGATACCAACAGGACGGGAAAGAAAAGCCTAGAAACCAGCTTTGTCTCCTAAGCCATCAAAAACTACATCCATATTTTTTAAACCCCTTTGCTTCTTAGTTTTAAAAGCAATGGCCACCACTTCCATGCTGCTTTCTCGAGCTGAAGAGTTGTTTTCCATGAATTAGAAGTGCTGTTTTGAATTGTATTTGGCTCATTTAACAACCCATGAGCAAACAGCCACTGGAGAAGTTGAGCCAACCTGGAGCTTTGCTGTCTGAGCTCAGAGGAGTGGGGGGCTCTGTTTGAAACCAGAGCTAGAGTTTCTGGCCTCTTCAGAACTGGTAATTGCCAGCTGATAGGGAGATAAAACTACCTTCAATGATGTTTTGTGCAGCCTAGCTACAGACTACTCGGTCTTAAGCAATTAGAGCTATTCCTGTTTCATACTCTTAATAGAGCTTGTTGTCAGGCATAATTCCAATCATCTTGGTGTTAAGCTCCCTCTCTCTGACAGCACTTGCCACACATCGCTGACAATTTTGCAGTTATCAGTATCAAGGCATCCAAAGATCACTGACACTGAGGCACAGGGAAGACACCCCCTCCCTTTTCCAGGGTTATAAATGTGAATTAGCTCCGTTCAGTTAACCTCACACTTGTACACAGAGCTGTTAATAAGAGCAGCAGCTTGTACGAGGGTGGTAGCAGCCACCCACAGGAGAGGAGAAGCTGTGTTATACTCTGGCCCATGCAGAACTCTTCTAAGTACTGGAGAAATAACCCTTTATTGGGATCCATTTCTTGCCTGAGAAAATCTTTGTTGTAGTTTTGGGCTTCCCCATGTCAAAATTCAGGCAGGGCTAAGATGAGCCTTGCCCTTTCCACCCACAGCCCCGGCTGCAATCATATTCATCAAACCTGGGTCTTCATCTCGTACTTGGTAACAATTTACACCAGTTTTTGGTCATTTGCTCATTTTCCACTTGAGACCTCATCAGAAAGGTGAGTACACCCAGCGACTGCAGCTGCTGCCTTTTGTTTCGTGGCATCCTCACTCCTGCAGCCTGGGCCAAGAGCAGCCTGTTCTGTTTAGCCACAGTACTGGGACTCACCTTGAGAAGTCTTCAAACTTCCTACACAAACCAGCTTTGCTGCTCAGCAGCTGGCTCAAAATGCCTGACAGTATTTTGTTGGGTATTTTGAATTAGACTGAGCTTTACTTTCCTGTCAGGACATAATTTAAAAGGCACAGGCTGGACAGCATCTGCCTTTTGTCTGCAGCACTGAATTACTCTTAGACTACTCCTGAAGAGATGAAGACATCAAGTGGCATGAGGCACAGGAGAGAGGCAGAGCGGACCCATGCCCAGGGTGCTGGATCAGTCTGTCCTGTAGCTGCTCCTGGGGCCAGGAGTGTCTGCACTCCATAGTGCAGGAGGAAAACAGTCCTGAGGTATTGCTAAAAACATGTAAAACAAACAAGCAGCCTCAGACTGCCCTGATCCTTATCTGTAGCACTTCAGCATTTTGCTATGCCCTGAAAGCCTCAAGGCAAAACTGTTTTAGAGATGGGGAACTTCAGGAATCAAGACTGAAGTGGAAGGAAGTCTCCTGAATAGCTGTGGTGTGACCTGGCCAACCCTGGGAGGGGACATAGCCTGGCTCAATCAGTGGTGCTTGGAGTCTGGGACAACAGACCTATAATTTGTTGGCTCCAAGGCACCAAACATGGTTGTATTTGAAGGCACTGAGATCCCATTCCTATTGCAGAGGGATTTGCCTTTTGAACCCAGATGTAAGCCCAGCTTCTTGATGGCTCATGGGCACTTGGTATGATTTAGTACATTTCTCCACCATGCTTCCTCCTTGTCAGGCTCTGGTTCAAAGTCACGGGACAAAGGGACCTACCGGCCTCTAACGAGGGATCACACACATGCTCTCACATCCACCAAACTCCAAAAAGCAATAGTCCCTTTCCCATTCCTGCCTTAAACATAACACAACACAGGGGGATTTCAAGAACATGTTTAATGATGGCAGTTTCTACTGAAACATGAGAAGTCCATTCAAACCCATCTTACCAATTTTTCCTTAAAAAGAAGCTTTGGTCACAACAACAAATTTAAAAAAAAAAAAAAAAGTTCAAGCAATTGCACAAAACTGAACACATGGTCCTGATACCTCCTCACACACAAACTGCAGCAGCAGAAACTCATCTAACAGAAGAAAAAATCCTTAACAAAAACCACAGCCTGCCGCTCTGCAGAGATTATACCATGTACATGGAGTTAGAGGAAACAGTTATGAACTAAGTGTTTGAATTAATTAGTGCCTGTAGACTCCTACAAGTCAGTTTGGGCTTAAGGGTAAGCACATCAGGACAGCACAAGGTTAGTGTGCAAGTGTTTGCAGTCATCTCTGCAACTTCCAGGGCAAAAAATGGAAATACAAAGCTATCTCTGTATTTAGTTCTGCAGGCAAGCATGGCACACTGACTTCTTGGCTTCTCAAGTGTAATCTCTGGTGACAGGGCTGTGGTTGAGTAAAGCAGCTGCAATTCTGTGCAGGGTTTTCCCTCCTCAGCACAGCACGCAGAAATAGAAAAGCCTCTCGTTCACTTGCTCTGTTTTGCCGCTGCTATGAGTCGGTAGACTCTGTAAGCACAGAGTGAGCTACGGGCAGACAGCTGTAATAACATTTCTGTTTTCATTTTCTGCAACAAAAAAATTACGCCTTTAAAAATGCTCTTGAACAAAGCAAGTTTGACTATGCAACACAAAATAGCAGCAGATACTAAGACACTTTACAGTCACGATCAAATTAAATCTGCATTGTAAGATACACAGAACATTAAGGTAAAACACTCACGTAGTGGTTGATGGCTATTTCTTCTCAGATGAACTCCTACAACTACCTGAACCAAACAGTTCAAATTATTAAAACTATGTTTTAAACTGATTTCTACTATTAAAAAAATATTCATATATATATACTATTAGATGAGTCACGTCAAGTGCTCTTAGAATCTTAACTAAATATAGCTATAGAATGTTTAACCAGACACTTTAAATCACATACAGCAAGTTTTGTAGAGGTAAACATTGCCTCACATTTGCAACAGCAACTGAGTATCAAACAAAGCATTTGGATTATTTTCATGACTGTGAGCAACTGGTCAGGTTGACCTTTTATTTCCACCAAGCAGCTGCTGCTTCCCTATAAGCAATTTTTAGCTTATGGCACACAGTTTGGGACCTCTCTGAGGAGCCAGAGCATCCCAATGGCAGTTGAGCATCTATATCTTCAACACCTTAAATACCTTGGTCCCTGTCCACCACTGAGATTTGCCATGTTGTGAAAACAGAGGGATTGTTTAGCCACAAGCAAGGGGAGCACATGGCCTTTGCCAGCCTAACTCAGCAAGTGGCCTGAAGTCGCTGCAAAAACTCCCAATTTCAAGAACTGACTCGCCCTCAGAAGGGAGAAGTGCCCTTCATGCACCTTTTCCTCTCATCTGTCTCCTACATAACTTGGTCTTGCCTTTCTTTTGTGCACAGAGATGGTTTCATTCCCTGTCCACCACTCTGAGTGCCTAATGCTCAGTTTAATGAGCGTGGCAGGAGAGTGGACGTGAACACGTTGCCATGGTGCCTGCACAGACAGGGCAGCCACCTCACCCGTCCCCTCCTTCCACACACGCCAACAGAAGCTTTTAACCTCCCTCTCTCCTCTCAGCATTGCCACTTCTCCAACTTCAAAAGGGCTCGGTCTGCCCAAGAAGTTCAATTCCCAGTCTTTAAAGTCTTGCAGTCCCAAAGAGACACTGTATTTCCTTCTGAAGCATCCAGCCAAAGTCTGAAACCTGTTTTACCAGGGCGGGGAAAGAGCCCCAGATCTCATCTCAACCTGCAGCATCCTTCCACCTTCTGGTCCCTGCAATTCCTACCAGCCAGAACACAACCTGCCCTGCCCATCCTCACCTTGCAGCTGACATGTCAAATATTGCTTAGTAACAGTGGAATGACTCAAACTCATTCCATGAATGAAAATCACAGAGCATTTTATATTGCCTTGATGACTAATATTAACACAACAGTCTGCTGTGGGATTTTTCCATCCAGGCTGAGCTGGCTGTCTGCAGAGCTTTTGCTGAGTCACGGCTAGGGGAAGCAAGCTGTGGTATGGGAGCTGCTGGGATGAAAGCACCAGGCTACTGGAAAGGGAAAAAAAAAATTCCCCTTCACCTCCTTTTACTGACTGAAGGGCCCAGGGGAGCCACACAGAACTGGCACAGGTCATGGTATCATGGCAAAGCAGTTTGGTGTTCTCAGCAAGCTTCGAATCCCAATAGGGCTTTAAAAAAAATAAAAATCCCAACACTGGCAGCCAGCTGCAAGGCTGGTGCTTTGCCAGAAGTTCTGCAGTCTCTATGAGGGATTGCAACCGCATGAGGGTCAAGCAAACAGTGGGACAATCCTAAAACAATTGGAAACGACGAGTTCCCCAGGAAAAGCAAGGTTCCAGCCAGCTTAAAAACCCAAAATAAAAGGTGTTAAGGGGTGCAGTAAAGTCTGAACTGCATCTGTGGTTACTTTAAACGGAAACCACAAAGTAAAGAAACTAACCCAGCTAGGTTTGCCCTTTCTCCCTCTGGCCTGGAAAGCGTACATGCCTGCGGTCTCCTAAACCCCACTCATCCAGAGGCAGCAATCTCATTTGCACAGTGTCATCCCACAGCTCTGACCTCTGCAGCACAAAGCACAGCAGAGAGCGACACTTAAAAATGCATCCTTGAGTTAAGTGAGCTTTGTCAAGCAGGTAGTAAGAGAAAACTTCCAGTTTGATAGAGAGTAGGATCACTCAAATGAAGCTTCCATGAGAAATAAGACATGTTCTCTCTGCAATCCAATCATTCCACATGAGGACTTACTTTGCTTAGAAAAAAGGTAATATAGATGAATTGTAGACAAGTTACAGTCAGCACAGGACAGTACAAAACACTGATTTTACTCCCCATGGAAGGGCAGAAAATTACAAAAATATATCTTCTTTAATCCAAGACTGCTATAGTTTAGAGTATGCCTGATTCTTCCTATTTCCCAGTGGTCTCATTTATTGAAGTTGGTCTGATCAGAGCTCCTTGGGACAATGAGAGTGTCATCATGAAAGCTTAGTGCAATTGTTGTAAAAAAAAAAAAAAAAAAAAAATCAGTAGCAAGTCTAGAAAATTTTCTACATGAGTCAACCTCTCACCCCCAGGCTTCAAAATTCTACACCAAACATAGTGTGGCATTTCAGCATGGCTTACATTTTTACCACCTAAAGTCCTACGTCACATCTCTAAGGCCCAAAAATACTTCTTGATTTTTTTTTTTAAACCCATGATCTGTTTAACAATGACCAAAGTTTAACAGAGACTGAAGTATTGAATTAGAATTTTAGAAAACAAGTCCTTGAGGCAGCTCAGTTCAATCTTCCTTGTCTTCCTCCTCCTTCTGCAAAATTTATTTAGACCACAGCGAGCTGCACGTTGGTACATGGGGCTGCATCTTGTCATGATGTAGTGACACCCCAGCCCTCCTAAAGCAAGAGAGCTGAGTTTGCGAGGAGGAACTCTGGTCATTCCAGTGCAGCAGTTGGGAAACCAGGGAACCAAATGGTGATGTTTTAGTCAGAAGATCCAGAGCCTGCTGCACAAACAGCACCTCGAGGAGGTGAGGCTTGGTTTGGTTGTGACGCTGCAGAGATGAAAGCCTCCCCTTTCACAGTTATGGGTTCAGCAGGTCCCTCGACAGCAGAATGACACCTCGCAGGGCACTGACGCTCCACGGAGCTGCTTTACCTGGAAAGCAGGAAGAATTAGTATAGATGTAGATTTGCAATTAAACAGCTTACAGGCAGAGATGAGAACCCATGTGCAAAGCAGGGGGGGGGAAAAAAAAAAAATCCCAAGAGCCACAAAGGAAAAGGCAGCATTATTCACTGGGATTGCCATCAGTCCCCTCCAGCAATTGATGTCTGTGATGCACTGGCACTGATGTGATGTTAGCACCACGCCAGGGGAAGAGAGACCAAGTGAAGGCAAAAGCAGAGCTGGATGAGACAAAACCCAGATGCTGAAAGGCCCTGCGGCCAGTCACTGTGCAGAGCACAGAAGGGAATGTGCACAGGGAGGCGGATATTTCACTGCAAGTGAAACTGCATTTTGGACAGCGCAGCCCCTTACTAACCAACACACATGGATCATCCTTCTTGCTATGCATGCTCCTCCTGACACCCTAGTGCTTCAACTGCTTCACGGTTCAAAATAGTTTTAATAGGAACTCTAGGAAGAAGGTGAGAGCCCTCCTTAGGACTGCATGAGCCAGCAGGAAACGGTGTGCTCCTTAACAACTCTTACAGCAGCATTGGGAAAGAACCTGGCCCCCAAAACCAAAAAACTGCTTTTTCACCATCTCTTTCCTCCCCTGCTGTGGGCCTATGGGAAATCCTTAACAGCAGCACCAAAGCTTTGGCAATTTGTTGTATTTATAGTGAGCTGCTGCCCGTGTTGGTGATTTGCACTCCCTTCAGATGAGGATAAATGATACCCCTCCATTTATACACAACCTGTCACTGCTGCCTGCTGGGGAAAAAAAATAAGCTGCTATAAACCCCAGCACAATTCACCTGGCATCATCCAGAATTGCCTGCAGCTTTCACTCGAAAAAAAAAATCCATTAGGGCTGCTCCCTTGGGAGTGAACACTTCGCTGTAACAAGTGGACAATTCCATGTTCCATTCAGAGCTGCACATGCAGTCAGGATATGGAAAGGATGTAGCCAAAGAGAAGGCACCAGTAGTGTAATTCTCATATTTTACAGAGATTCCCAAAAGACTCAAGCACATCAAAGGCTGAGCCCTGCAACTGTGATGATGTTTCTACACAGTTCAATGCTGTTGGTGCCTGAAAAAGGGATGATTCCAGAATCCAGCCCTTACATGTGGTGCATCTTTCCTCTGAAACATCCTGCAAACTCTCAAAAGCCCTTTAGACCCATGACAGTTGAATAAATATTACTGTCCTCTTCCCTAAGCCTGCCACCACTCCTTACCCATAAATCTTTCTCCCTTTCGAGAGCACTTTGGAAGACACATTCCTAAACTGCTTCTGCGTTCTCCTGGTGCCGCTGCTGTTAAGAGGGAAAAATGACAATCCATGGGGGAAACAAACTGAGGAATTTTACTCAGCTGACAGATGGACAGAGGCTTCAATCTGGCCAAGAAAAATCTTTCATCAGTATTTATTTAGGAGCCTGACATGAGGACCAGCATTAATGTTCCAAGTTGTTCCCCAACTCCGGGCTGTCACATGGCACATATCGCCCTGGACAGTTGTGAAATTCCCCCAGCTGGGCTCGGCAAGCTTAGCAAGAGCAGAACTTGCCTCCAACAGCTGCAAGTCAACAGGGAGAGGAGCCACTGCTGATATCCCAGATTACTAAAGTGCTTTCAAAGCCTTTCATGTGCAAGGCGCCACAGAATTTATTCAGTACTTGTTTTCAGTTTCCTATTGAAGCTGACAAGAAATCCCCCAATGAGCTAAGCTAGAGTTAATAAGCTTAACAAGCTAACAATTTTATTTACCTTTTCAGAAACTGGTTCTTTTTGCAGCTGTTTGAATCTCTTTTCTCTTATTACAAAAAACCAAGCAGAGTGCTCTGTGGTGGGGGATGGACACCGGTTTGTGGGGGATGTCTGCCTGTAACCTACTTTACTTCACTGCTCTCTCTACTCGAGTATCACACGGTGCCAACTCCCTGATGAATCAATGGCTTAGCTCCATCAAGGAGATGATCATGGAACCCCGTGCAAATTTCCCTTGCCTTCCTGAAAGAAAGGCTAAAGGAGAAAAGAGGAGAGGGAAATCTTCAAATCAAGATCTATTTGTGGGATGAGAAAGAGCACACTTGGAAGATGGGTTTTAGCTTTCCACTAACTCATTTTTGAAGATGGGCAGCAAGTGTAATCCCATCATAAAACTTGAGAAAACGTCTGACATCTGGAAAATGAAGACCAATACAGCTCATATGGTCCAGAAATCAATTGGACAGGGATGCTTTTTGGCCTTCAGTAGTACAGATTGAACTGGTGATCAAGAAACAAACAAACAAACACTCTTTCCATGCTCAGTTTGCTTTCTTTGTGTAACTCTAACAAATTTCAGAACAATTCCTGAACTTTTTATGCAAATGCCTCTCTCAATACCAGAGCAAATACGTACAGAAAACCATCCTCCATATGAAAACACTGGTTTCCATGAAGTTTTTCAAGGTACTACTGTCCAAGTCATCTGGCATCTTTGCTCTTACGACAATCTTAGATTTACACTTTCAGCCTCTTGTCACTAAGAAACTGTGCCTGCAGGATTAGAGAAGCCACTGACAAAGCTGCTTCCCTGCTACTGGAATGAGATTGCAACAAAAGGATCTGATCTGGCACACACACACACTTTGGAATTCAACAAAGGTAGCAGGGGGTGGATTTTGCATCCCCAGAAAGGACTGTGTTTGGGTAAGATTTTGAAGTGGTCTCATTAGTCTGCCTTACAGGAGGAAGGTGGTTATTTCTTGTTGCTCCACTGCCCAAGGGAAGCCAGAGGTGGGATCTACTGGGAGCCTAAAAAACCTTAAAGCCTCCTGAAAAAAAAAAAAAAAAAAAAGGAAAAAAAATGACCTTCAATCCAACAGCCCAATTTACACTGTCTGCTGTTCTTTGATGCCTCATGTAAGACTGGAAACAAATCCACACAAGGACAAAGCATTAAAGGAAAGAAAATTAACTGCAGGAGAACAATTGGAGAGGTAAACGCAGCTTCTCCCCTGTTGCTGCTCCACACCAACTGCCTTTTAATTAGAGAGCTGTTTGCATTGCATGGAGAGAAAGCACAGAATCTCAATTACTCCCCCAAACACAGATGTAAGTGCCAGAACAGATCTTCCAGTGATGGGAGGGGACCTCAACCAAACCAGCCCAGAGCCTCCCTACATCCTGAATGCCAGTTTGGAAAGGAGGGGAGGTCTTGGGAAGGTACTTCAACAGGAGACCTCGTAGAAGTTCGTTCCCTGACTTACTGTGGGCAAGTCTGAGCTGCCCATTCTGCAGCTCTATCCCTCTCTTCCCACCTGCACACAAGCACCTATGAAGAACCTCCTGACTGGTTCAATGGGGTTGTCAATGTCAAACTCAGAAACCCAAATCTGCAAAGTCTCTTTACTGGAGACAGGATTTACAAACTGTTTGCAACATGGCCCGCAAGCTGCACAAAGGAACCAGATACATTTTACAGCAAATGTATCCTCAAAGAAGCTTTCCCAAAATCAGTACTGCTAAAGGGTTGTCTGTAAGATGATCTCTCCCTCTAAACTGAGGGAGCTCTGTTTGAACTAAACAAAAGTATGTCTGAGACAGTAAGGACTTCAGAAACTGTGGAATTTAATAACTGTGGCACTGTGGCAGAAAGGAGGAATTCCCACAGCTGAAAACAGGACTGGCTGGCTAAGAACCCAAAATCCCTGTGGTCTCTGAACACAGCACAAGGTGAAGAGCCATTTGCACTGCTCAGGAACCCAGGATGACCCAATACCTTTAGTGAAAGCATTGGCACAGCACGAGCTCCACAGAAACGACGCCAGGGAACAGGAACACAGCTCTCATGAGTCAAATGGTTTCCAGCAACCTCTCTTTGTTCATCCAGTACTGTGCTATTAGACATCTTATCCTGACACACTGCCACGATTAGGAATCCTCTGTTCTCACTCTTTGGGGAAAAACCCCTCTGATTCCATTTCCAAAAGTTCACAGAGAAAGTACTGAGTTAAAAGGAAGAGAGGTGGGCGATGCAGGCTGTTAAAGCAGCCCTTGGCGAGTCAGATCCCTGCACTGTGGGTTTAACAAAGCTCGATCCCAAAGTACAAACTGCACAAGCTGAAATCATGAGAGCAAACACAGGGCAGCTACAGGGAACGGCAACAGTCAGGCAAGGACTGATAGGAGTCCTCTAATTCAAGAACCAATTGTTTACACAGAAAGGCTCGACTCACACCCTTCATTGTTTCACGGCTCCCAACTATTTCCTGACTTTTATAGAGAACTAATGCAGTGACTCTGGACACAACCAGTGGAGCGTGTGGTGGTGTGTGGTTCAGATGTTGGCACAAGTGTGCCTAGAGCAGATGTGGTGTTCTCTCTTTCCAAAGCTAAAAGATGGGCACAACATGAGTAAGGTCTGTAAAATCTCCAGTTAGAAGTTGTCAAGATCTGCATTTTTATAATTAAGGAGGGCTTATTTCAGCCTAAGTGGGACAGATTTTAAAGTAGGCCTTATTTGGATGAGAATGCAACTCGAATGGTGTGGATGGCTTGATGAAAATAAAAATAAGAGATGCAGATACCCTGGTGCCATAAATCAATGCACAGCATCTTTATGTGCTGAGTGGTTGCTATAAATCTCAGCCTGGAATAGGCACCAAAAGTTTTGGGTTGTCACACCACTCCCATGTCACAAATACAAACATATTTAGGGAAAGTCTGTTGCTAAGGGATAACTGCTAACAGCATCAGGAAGGGACTGTAGTCCTCTCGGTGTCACAGACCAACATGAGAGCATTCTGGTACAAACCCAGAGGTTGGTGGAGATTCATTATAATTTCTTTTCCAGGCTCAAAGCAGCACCTGGAAAAGCAGCCCTGGATCCAGTGTGAGTGCACACGAATGACTGCTAACAGCTGTCCAAGAGGGAAAGTTCAGTCTGTCAAACCCTGTCAGCTACTTGGGGCATGTGTATCCCATCGTGCTGCTCTGAAGAGGAAAGAGGAAGGCAGACAGCCTGGGGGTAGCAATGTGGTTATTGCAGGAATAGGAGGGTACAGAGCCACATGTGCTGGGAACAGGACGAGGGGGCTGTAAAGGACAGGGATAATTCCTGGGCAGAGTGGAAGGGAGATGCAACTGCCTCACCTCTGCCAAGTTGGCTCAGCAGAGAAATAAGAGAGCTGTCTTCACTAATAAGAGCTCAAGGAGCAAGCCTAACTGGACAGGCTGGCAGCAGTACCTGTATTTCACATCAAACACTGTTGAGTCTTCGTCCTCGTCATCTTCCTCGTTCAGAGGAGCCATTTCTACCCGCTCGGCTGGAGTGGTGATTATGTCGTACTTCCTGGTCTTCTTAATCCTCTTGCCAGACCTGAAACACAGAGTTGGGAAGGGAAGGATTGTCTTTATACAGTATTCCTTGGAGAGGCTGAAGCTGTTCCCACCAACTCTGAATCACTGCCCTGTTTGGTTCAGACTCCCCAGACACAAAGTGAGCAGAACCAGCCTCCATCCCCTCCTGCTGCTTTTCCAAGGCCACCGTTTGTGCCCGTCTGTGGAGCACAGCTTCTCGTCAACTGCAATCCAGATCAATGTCAAGTCTTCCAGCTGCTGACAAACCAGAATCCTCTGGCAGCCAGGGCAGCCCACCACGTCCTCCTGCTGCCACACTCAATAAGTGAGACGTGAGCTTAATCAGCTGAAGCAGCCCATGGTTTAGTGAATGTGTTTGGATGAGAAAGGCCAGGTTAAGCCCTGCTGAGCCACAGGAATGTTCTAGGCAGGATTAGAAGCACAGGGGTGCTGATGTCTGGGTACAAACAGCCTGCTGTATTTCTTGCTACCAGGCCAAGCTCAGGACTCCCCCAGCAACAATACTGAGTCTGATCTGAGCAGTTTCAGGCTCCGTGCTGTGCAGGTGCTATAAAAAATAATCATCTATCATTCAAAGCTAACAGCACCTACCACCTCTCCTCCAATAGATGCCAGGCTTATTTTCCTTTTGAAATGGAGATGCTCACACACCTGCACATCCCACAGTTTCGAGAGATCTACTTTCTAAGACTTTCAATTAACAAACACTTGGTGTGTGGCTTTTCAAGTAATTCTCTGCCTCTAGCTTGAATTCTGCAGGTTCTTTTTTATTTCACCTACTGCTTTCATGAATATTAGGAAGGTCACACTGCTCGTGCATGAATTCAGTTTTGTGATTATACATTCAAGAAGGTGTTGATGCATACGGCCAGCCTTGGGGGAAAGGAGTGGATGGTTCTGGTTAACAAACTGCAAAATTTTTCCCTTTGCCTTTTATAAAACAAAACTGGTACCTGCCAAGCATGAGAAGGGAGCTGGTGCAGGCACAAGTAAGCAGCCCCTAATTTTTGGTAATCACAGCTAGTGCTTTGAGCAGTCAGCACATCATGAGTGCACTTTCACCAGCAAGAAGGCTTGCCCTGGCACTTCACGCAAGGTGTGCTGGATTCAACAGCACTGTTTTTGCCTCAAGATGCCTTTAAAAAAGTTACACAGCAGCAGGAACCGGCGTGTAAGCATTGCAGAGAGCCTGGGACTCCAGCCCTCTGTGTGCATCTCCACCACTATGGTCCCTTCCAGGCCTAAAGTTAAGGAAATTCAATTCAGCGACCTGCTCTGATGCAGAAATCTCAGTGCCTCCACCTAGCACTGCTTTTAGGCAGTAGTCCAAGGCTGAACAAACATGTCCCAGCCCTTGGGATGGAGCAGTTTGCATTTCCTCCCTGTTCTGAAGGCTAAGGTTGCATCAGAAGTGAGGAGAAAGTTGTCTCCTCTCTAATCTTTAGAGCAATCTGTGCCACTGTGTCACGCAGAGCACAGGGTGGTTTGTTCTTTTCCTACTGTTGTTGAAACAAGCAATTTTATATCCACTGCAGTAGGACTCTTAACCCAAACACTTGAAAATCCTTTTGAAACCACTTCTCTATTATTCTGCTTCTCTGCTAAAACCTAGCACTGAAGTGAAGCAGGGAGGTCTCATCGAGCAAGTAATGCATTGTTTTTACAAGAAATATTTACTCACGCTGCGAAGCCTAAACATAGACAAAACTAACCTGTGTCTACTTGTCAGAACTAACCAAGCACAGCCTTACCACTCTGAGTTCACCTGCAGGGGGTTTCCATAGGTTCCATTTAAGATCTTACCTGCACATCAGGCCCACTTTACTGAGAGCCATCCTGCCTCATTTCCTCCATTAAAAAACATAACTTATTCCACAGAGTTAATCTTAAAATAGTTAATAATGGAGTGTTTGAAGAAATTACTGCAGAACAGGTATTTTTAGAAATGGGAAACTAGAACCTTTTTGCTTCTAGCCATTAATTAGTCTATCTGGGCTACACTTTCAAGAGGACTTGGAGCAGAACTCGCTGCACAGTGATCTATTAATCCCTGGAACCCTCACTTAACCACAGTGCTCATTTAGGAAAGGCAGAAAGCTTGTTTTGCTGCTGGTTTTTGGCTAAGCTGCTACAATCAGTTGTCTGCCACTGATAAGGCGAAAAGGTCTTTCCTCACCACCCCTTTCCCAATTCATTCCACACCAGATTTCCTAGCTAATTTGTCATTAATCTACTTTTCCTGTTGCCTGTTTTCTCACATTTGCTCATTTGAACAACTCCCTCAGGCTTCATAAATATTAGAAGAATTACCCAAGCTAACTTTGCAGCAAAGCCTCAGGAGTATGCCTACATGCACACAAAATAAGGCTGCCTGTCAGGAAACTATTTCACATTAAAACTCCTGAAACCTCAGTGGGATCCCTGTAACCATCAGCCACGACACAAAAAGGAAAAGCTCTTTATCCAGCAGGTGGGACCAGGCAGCAGAGTCAGAAGAGCAGCACTAGGCAGGAACTACAGAATACAAATGTTTCATGACCTTCGGAGACCTCCTGGATAGGATCAGGACACATCAGGCCTCATGGGCAAACAGAGGATCTCCTTTCCAGCCAGGTTCATTTTGGGGGGGCTTTTTAGAAGCAAACACAAAGCATGCTGGAAGCTGCAGTGGTCAGAGTGTGTCCCTCACACAAGGACACACTGAAACACTCCCCAGGCGGTTTAGCCAGGGCAGGAGTGGTGCTGAGTAGTTCAGCACAGAAAATCATCTTCCACTTTAAAAAATCCTGTTGCTTCTGCTGACTTCAGCCACCCCCTGTAATCAGGAGGGGATGCTACGGGTCTTGTCCTGAATTACCATGAGGAAGAACAAAAAAACCCCAAATTAACTGTAGTCAGGGATATTAACCCTTCGCTGCAGACCCAGTGCTGCTCCCACCAAACCAACTCACTCGTGTTGACGCAGTGAGCACAACACTTGGGTGAAGTTGGAGTGGCACTGGGCTCGGATGCCTGAGGCACCACACCAGGGTCTGCCTGGTCCATCCCAAATCAGACACATGTCCCTCACCATGCAGAGTGCAGGGAGGGACAACACAGCCCCACACAGGGCTGGGCTGGAGCAGAACGCTGACTTTGTGTCTGTATTTTGCCCTGGGGCTATTTTGATCAAGCCCCAGTCATATGCAGCACTTCATCCTCCTTTCTGAGGCATCATGTGGTGGGTAACTGCTCGAGTCAACTCACTAGTTCATTATATTATTTACGCCCCTAATCTATTTTAGTCAACAACACTGGCATTCAAAGATAATGCTTTTCCTGACCTAGAGAGAGAGGTCTCTGCATTTCTAAACTTGTATTAACACTTCCTGCTAAGAGATGTAGTGGGAGGGGACCTTCCTTGGAATAAAAAGAAAACTGAAAAAAAAAAAAACAAACACATGCCTTCTTAGCAGGGTGATTATTGGAAGTCTGATGAAGCCAGTTCCTCCCAGAACTGCAGCAATGTTATAACAGGAATGGAATTAGGACAGTTTATTTGCTGTTAATGGACTCTCTTAGCAGTTAAAAAAAAATATGGAAATATAAACCTCAGGAAACTGCAGACTTACTACCAGATGATGAATTAAATCAGCGATATTTCATTACTGTTCATCTGTCTGGGTATCTCTGCTCTCTGGATAGTGCTGTACACAACAAAGTCAGACCACGATGCCAAGTCCTCACATGTTTTCTGGAGATGGGGCACGTAGTGATAGGACAAGGGGGAATTACCATAAACTGAAAGAGAACAGGTTTAAATTAAGTATTAGGAAGAAATTCTTTACTGTGAGGGTGGTGAGGCACTGGCACAGTGAGGCTGCCAAGAGAAAATGTGGATGCCCCATCCCTGGAAGTGTTCAAGGATGGTGCACTGAGCAACCTGTTCTCTTGGAAGGTGCCCCTCCCTATGGCAGTGCTGTCACACTCACATCAAGACAATCCAGTTTTCCCTTTTGTCATTCTTTGTGGCCATAACCACTACCTGCACCTGAAGCTTAAATGAAGCTTTCAGTATGGATCTAAAATGTGTTTTGGGGTTGGATGTTTGGTTGTTCTGGGTTTCTTTCTTCTCCATTTAATATAATTTAATTTGAGGGTTTTTTCCCTGCTCCTGGCAGAAGTCTTGTCTTTGCTAGAATACTCTAACTGGTTACAATAAAATTAATTTTAAATCAGTCAAACTCTCTGGGGTTAAGACTTGGATTGCTCGGAGCAATTGCCCAGCTCATAGAACAAAGGGTCATGTATCCTATGATCATGTGCTTGAACCTCTCTCCTCAGTGTCAGTCATTTATACCAGTTTTGCAATTACTGGAAAACTAAGCTAAAAATGGTATTTGAGGAAGACATACAAATTGAACACAAAGCAACAAAACAAAGCAAAGTAAGCAGGTAGCTTCTTTCTAGAAATCTAGATAAATAGCAGCCTTTCCAGCCTGGGTTCTGCTCATTCAAGGGCAGGTCAAGACATGAAGAAAACTCTTATAGCAGAGAGTCTTCTGCTATAATGAAAGCTTTGGGTTGCTTTCAGCTGGCCCACTGGAGCAGAAGTAACTTATCCAGTTTCCCCAGAAGGCACATGGTCTACCAGCACACTTAGCCACATCTGAAAAATTCTGTTTCCTGTGAGCTGATCCCAAGAACTGTATTGCAATGGAATGAACTGAGCTGTACCAGAAGAGAGAAACAGGGCAGAATATGGGTGTAAAAAGGCAAAACCCAAAGTGCAACTCCAAGACTGAATTTAGCACACATCATCTGTTGCAAGACACTGTGTTTCTTGGTAATGCAAACTACTCAACTATTTGATTAAGAATAACATGAAATTCGTTTTGTTGTGGAAATGGTTTTGGGTTGGGAGCATGCAGAGCCCATGGGTATAGGAAAGAAAGCAAACCCAGAACTGAGCTTGCAAAAAAGAATAAATAAATAAACACTATAGCAATTTAGGCCTTGCCACATGCAGACAAATAGTAAAGTCTTGGCTGGCCTTCACAGACCCCAGTAGGCACAGAAAGAAAGGAAATTCAGACCACTTTGGGTGACACCACACTCTGAATCCCTGGACCATCAGATGAATTCAGAGCATAACATTCCCAAAAGAAATGAAGAGGAATCTCTGAGTGCTATCTTAAAAACAGAGCTGAAAACTGGAGAAATATATCTATCCCTGCTCAAATAAAAAAAGGAAAATAATATAAACAGTAAAGTATGTAAAAGTTAAATGTATATAAAAAATAAAATGTATAAAAATTAATCCAATGCCTGTGACAAGAATATCTGGCCACTCACTAGTTAATTTCATTTCTACAGCCCATATCTAAAAGGATAATTTATTTCAAGCAACCCAGAACAATTTCATAGTGAAGGTTTAATCAAAGATTGGATTTCAGCAAAATCTCTTTAATAGGAATCCATGACACTTCAGAAAAAAAATCGCAATTTTTGACTAAGTGTGAACAAAGCTCTTATTCTGATGGAGAAAAGCTTTACATTTATTGAGGGTAAATCCCTTATCTCTTCTGCACCAGAATCTCCTCTGATCTACGTTGTCAGCTACAAGTGTGACGCTGTACAGACATACCTGTTGGTATTCTGGTCTCATTTGCAACTGAGATAACTGTTTACAAAATAAAGAAGCATACTCAGAAGTTAAAAAGCTTCACCTTCCACTTCTCCTAGCAGGTTCTATCAAAGATGTACAAGAGATCTGGCATTGGGCAGGGCAGGTATGTGTATTTATTTTACTGTATCCTTAATGCTGCATTTACTCTGATCAGTTATATAATGACAACTTTGGCATGGAAGAACTAATCCACCATTCCCAAAGTGGCTTTAACCTGGACTTGGTTTTGCTGATTAGGAAGGCCTTTAAAGGCTATCAGTTTGCCTTCTTTGGCTAGGAATATTCAGCCTTATGCCAGGTCTCCTTGACACAAGATCTTGCTTTATACCCAGGAGAAACTGTGGCAGAGGAAATAGAGTCTCCAAGATCAGATAGGAGTAGAAATTCAGGCTTTTCATTCTTCTCTTAGTTATAAACTTCCTAATTCTAGCTCATATACCCACTATCAATTCTGCTGTTTGTCCATGACAACTTTATACAGCTGCAAAGTGGATATACTGATTAAAAAAAAATCTCCTCAATACTTTATTGGGCTCTCCCAAACCACCTCATTTTAATGAGCACATATATTTGCAGCACCTTCTGCCAGCTGCTGCAACACTTAAGTAGAATTTAGTTAAATGTCAATTTCCTTGGGAAAATATCTGTTCTGATCATTTCAGTTTATAGACCCCACTTTGTAGTACTACTGTTATGAATACTGCCCTTCCTACACAGAATTAATTCCGAAGCAGGAGAAGCAGAGCATTCAGCCATCCCGTAAATACGAAGGAACTGCCTGAAGACAGAACAAGGAAGAATTTGCCAGCTCCACTTGTTCAACTGCTCCTGTCACCTGAGACGTGGCCTGGCCTCCTCCCTGTGCTGAGTGCCAGCTGTTCCCCTCTCCCGGCTCTTCCCGGGTGTCCCTGCCCAGCAGTCGGACACTGAGCTGAGACACTTTGCCATCTGGACCTGGATCTCCAGCTGGGCTTTGTGTATCTCCATGGACCGCCATCCCAAGGCTCCTTGGGCCCCAATCCCAGCGACCCCACTGCCTACAACCCCACGAATTTCCAGACGTTCCCCCTGGAGTTCCACGTGGTACTTTCCATGCCCACTCCAGCCTCTGGCCACCATGCAGTGAGTGAATCCCACGCTGGAAAAGCCCACTTGGAACCCAACTCCTGCCCTAATTTCCTGCAGAAGCGGGAGGAAGGAAGGCGGAGCAAGATTTGCCAGGCCCAGGCAGCTCCCTGAGGCTTCCCCAGGGGCTCCCGAGCCACCCACAAACGCTGCGCTTGAGGCCGGGCTTTAAGACTATTATTACGGGCTAGTTACTATTATATAACATATAATTACATATATAATTTTCATAGGTAGATAGATAACAATAAAATAATAAAATAAACGGGGAGAGGTTTCACCCCTTCTCCCGGAGCCCCAAAGCCGTCCCACCCGCAGCCCCGCCGCGTCTCGGGGCGCCCCCGGCCGTGCCCCCGCCGCGGTACCTGAAGACGCGGAGCAGGAGGCAGGCGATGAGCGCGGCCGTGAGCGCGCAGGCCCCGATGACGGCGGCTTTGAGCGCGGACAGGTCCCGGAGCACCGCGGGCACGGGGCTGAGCCGGGCCCCGCTGTGGTTGCCCGGGGCCGGCGCGGCGGGCGGGTGGCTGCCGTTCCCGGCCGGGGGCTCCAGGCTGCCGCGGGCGGCGGGCGCGGCCGGCAGGAGCAGCGGCAGCAGCAGCGAGGCCGCCAGCAGCGGCAGCGGGGCGGCGGCGGCGGGGCGCATCCTGCCCGCTCCGGCTCCGGCGGCTCCGGCTCCTCCGGCCCCGCCGAGCCCCGGAAGGCAGCGCCGGCCGGCCTGGCCCCCGCCCCCCCCGAGAGGCACCGCCTCCCGCCGCCGGGGCCCCGAGCCGGGGAGAGCCGGGACGAGCCGGGGCGGCCGGAGCCTCCGCCCCCGGAGCCTCCCGCGGCCACAGCGGGTACCTCCGGCCCCGCAGCCCCAGCGGGTTCCGAGCGCCCCGTCGCTGCCTCTCCCATCACCACCATCTCTTATTAGAGATTGTTCAGAGAGGGCTGCGAGGATGGTGAAGGGTCTGAGGGGCCGTATGAGGAGCGGCTGAGGGCACTTTGTTGCTCAGCTTGGAGAAGAGGAGGCCTAGGGGAAGCCTCGTCGGGGTCTGCAGCTTCCTCAGGAGAGGCAGCACCATCTCTCCTTTCTGTGACTCTGTGACCTCTCTCAGGGGCAGGACCCGAGGGAACGGCTGGAGGTGTGTCAGAGGAAGGTTAGGTTGGATATTAGGAAAAGGTTCTTCCCCCAGTGGGTGGTCGGGCACTGGAACAGGCTCCCCAGGGCAGTGGTCACAGCCCCAAGGCTGACAGAACTCAAGTAGCATTTGGACAACACTCTTGGACACATGGTGGGATTGCTGGGGTCATGCTGTGCAGCTGGATTTCGCTGACCCATGTGGGTCCCTTCCATCTCAGGATATCCTGTGTTGCTGTGATTCTGTGGCCACTCTTAATTGCAACACACAACATCTGCCCAGCTGCAAAATGATGACAGGGTTCACACTGCCATCAAACAGGGTACAAACCTCCTGAGCTGCTGGGTCAGCATGGCCCAGCTGCTACATCAACAATTCCTACATCAGATTTATGTCCTTTTACCTTTCCATTGGTCACCAAGGCTCTGCTTGCAGGTTAATTTGTTTACTGATATTTTCATATCTTTAAAATTGTAAGATGCATGGAAATTACAGCTGCAGTTCTGCAAACCATCCCAGGTGCACCAAGCGTATGACTGGTGCCATTGGCCAAGACTCACAGGGAGAATAAATTATTTATTATTATTATTATTATTTTACATAGAACATTCTGAGTTGAGAGGGACCCACAAGTATCACTGAACTTCAGTTCCTGGGCCTGAACAGGACAATCCCAAGAATCCCAGCATGTGCCTGAGCACATTGTCCATACACTTCTGTCAGGCTTGGTGCTGTGACCATTGCCCTGGGGAGCCTGTTCCAATGCCCAACCGTGCCCGGGGGGGAAGAACCTTTTCCTAATATCCAACTGAAAACTCCCCTGACACAGATACAGCTTCATGCCATTCTGTCACTGGTCACAGAGAGCACAGATGAGTGCCTGGCCCTTCTCTTCCCTTTGTGAAGAAGTTGTAGGCTGCAATGAGGTCTCCCCTCAGTCTCCTCTTCTCCGGGTTGAACAGACCAAGTAATCTTAGCCGTTCCTTGTATGACTTCTCTGAATCCTTCACCATCTTTGTAGTGTCCTTCAGACACTCTCCAATAGCTTTATATCTTTCTTATGTTAGGGTGCCCAAACCTGCACACATTGCTTGAGGTGAAGAGTAAATAGGGGAGCAAAGAGCCTGTGCCATGATACTGCCAAGATACAACTTACTTTTGCTCTCTATGTTCAGTATTAGCATGAGCTGCTAAATAATTGTGTGTGGAGAGAGAGGGGCACGATGGCAGAGAAATGAAGTGAAATAAAGAGGGGGAAAGATGAAAAAGCTGATTTCCTTTCTATTAAACTTGGAACTTCAGGGTTGGCATGGCAGAGTATAGTATGTTGGAACATGTGACTAAGCTGTGCAAAATATGACAGAGATGTATTCCCGCTGGCAAGTGTCCCACCAGAGAGGTAGCAGGGAAATAGTGCACAGTTCATTGGCCTTCTGAGCCAGTTGGGATGCTGTATCAAACGCCACCCACTTGGTAATAAAAGCATCCTGTGTGTTTTGCAGGAAGCTCTTCGGGATGGGGAAATTTTGACATGGACACTGTGCAGAAGGCCCGCTAGACTGCCTGAATTGGGCATTGTTCTGGGCTTTATTTCATCACTGGCTTTTGTGCAGTTTCCCAGTTTCCAACATGGCATCTTAGTTCAGTTTTTCAGAAAAAATTAAAAAATAAAAATAAAAAAATCCAGCTGGGCAGGAGGTCAGATTGGCGATGTGGGCTGTTTCCCAAATACTGGTGTGAGGCTGCTCACATGAGTTCTTTGTAAACACTGACCCTGATGCTGCCCCTGCCTGTTCTGAGCTGTTAGCCAGCTGCTGCCTGGCCTCTGTCAGAACCCTCTGGCAGAGCAGTGCTTCTCCATAGGATGAGGGAAGACATGTAAAGGACTTCTAAAACAAGAATCACCTCCCACAGTTTGAGTGAAGGTGTTGGAGGTGAAGAGCCCTTAACGTGACAGTTTTGGAAAGCATAATTTATTTCAAGTGGCTTCAAGTTTTTTCATTTTGGTTTGGTTTGGGGTTTTGTGGGATTATTTTTTTTTTCCTCAGATGCTTTACTGATATTTCCCATGTCATTTGCCTAATTTGGAAAGCATTCTTGGGTCCTGGTCTGGAATGTGGAATTTCGCAACTCTGTTCTTCAATGACATCATGTGGTTTGTACTGAACACAGCAGTAATAAATGAGAGCAAGGGGAGTTTACCAGCCTGTGTACAATAAACATTTTATCTGAATAGTCATCTTTTGGGCATCTGAACTAATTAGTGGGGATTAGATTTTACTGAGTAGGACACATTTTTCATGTATATAGGACAAAGGGTCCCACTTGGATAACAAGGAAGCTATATCTTGGTTTCATCTCCCCCTTAGCAGTGGTGGTTGTGAAAGCCAGAGTTCCTGAGAGCTTTGGTAGAAGAACGTGACTTTGAGAAGCTGAGAGGAAATCCAGTCAGGGAAAAATGCATAAAGTATTTGGTTTCCTTTCTGATGAAATCTTGTGTTTCATTCCTGACACCAACACGCACCCGGAAGAGGAGAAGGATATGGATTGCAGGGGTGGGAGTTGGTGTAGCTTTTCTCCTTGCTGAGCTTTCTTCCTGTTTACACCTGTTCGGTGTCATTACAAGTTGGAGCTCTCATGAGCAATTGCACTTTCTGTAGAAGAGTCCAGTACTGGCTAAATAGAAGGAGTGAGCGTGTTTCTGTGTGCAGTTGCTTCTGGAATGGCACATATCTGTATTTATGGATGCCTGTTACAGGAGTATCTCCATTTGTGCAAAGGCTCTTCATGCACTGCTTAGCAATTCATATGGAGTTCAAGATGCCCCTTCCTTTGTGCTCTTGGCCTCCAGGCAGCACCCAGATGTATTTTTAGCTCTCAGAATAGAGGAAAATTTGCAAGAAATTGTGCAGAGAAGAAATAAGCAAAGGAGTTGAAGCTGGCTCAGTCGTCGGATTTAGGCAAGCTGTATTTGCAGGAATAAATAAGTGTTTCTGTGAGAGAAGTGAAATTTTTACAAAATGAGGCAAGCTACCTTCCCAAGGATTTGCTGAAGAAGTAATACACCTCCTGGACAAAGACCAGAGTCAAGGAAGGAAGGAAATAAAGTGGAACTGGTAAGGGATCAGTGCTCCATGAGCACACCTCTCACATCTCAAAACCAAAAACCCAGGCAGAGATATAAATTCAAGAAGCAACCAGGTCTGCATCAGAGTGTGTTTGAGCTGGGATGTCAGACAAGAGAGCACAGGGTAATTGCAAGATTTAATCATTCTTCCGGTGACTATCGATAGATAACCTCAACCAACAGTGCAGTAAAACTGCAATGCCTCATCTATCACGAGTGGCCTGAGGGCTGCAGAGATGTCCTATTGCTAATTAAAGACCAGCGATGTAGAGCAAGCAGGAGCTTCAGATATACTTGGACAAGGCTTTGCACATTCCTAGTTAGCACGTTACATTAGCCTGCTATTCCTATAACCCTCTAAAGCATTTATGGCTTTTTACAGACATTAAAAGCCAGTGTTACTGCTGCAAAAGGCTTGTAATTGAAGTCTATGATAAGCAGCAGATTCCTTTTAAACGAGGTTGGTGCAGTCATTAAGCTGGGGTGCAGAGATTATCTCCTGAACAGGTTCTACAATATCGCTAAAACACACAATGTTGCAGTGTAGCAGTTAATCTGAAAACAAAACAAAACAAAACAAAACAAAACCACCCAAAAAAAAAAAAACCAAAAAAAAAACAACAGGAAAAGGAAGGACAGCAGTAAACCACAAATCTTTGTTTAGTTTGGATAACAATAATCAAAGAACACAAAAGCCGATTATGACTTTGCCTCCCACTGCTTTGTGCCTATTCATGCAGCCTGTCCTGGCTGGCCCACTGAAGTGCAACCTGAAGGAAGCTGACAAATACTTCAAGTATTTCTTTTTTTTTTTTTCTTCTTTTCTTTTTTTAATAGAGTAATTTGCAGATGATGTTCTTAGACTGGTTTTCTTTGTCTTAGCTGCATAAAATAAACTCATTGGGGTAGTAGCAGCTAATCTTGCGGCCTCAGATGACATTAGAGGTTTACTGATGATGTTAAAGTGACTGCCAAGTAGCAGGATTCCATCCAGAATTGCAAGTGACCTGGATATGACGTAAAGAGAATTGGATTTAACCCCTACATGCACTATTTCCTGGTCCAGCTGAACCATTGTCAGACATGGCACTTATTTTGTCATTGCAGGAAAATACGTCAGATCAGCTCAAAGGGGAAATATCTGTGCTGTAATAGTGTTTCTAATCCATCACTACCTACTTACCCATGTCTTAGAAGGCCTGCACAGGCCTATAAGAAGCAGAGAACCCACCTGAGGGCTTGCAGGATGCTGCACTAACACATCGTGATCGTTGCCACTGTGAAAGCAACTCCAGGATGTCCACACACCCTTCGTCACACAGACATCCCTCTGGAGTGAGCAGCGGGGATCCAATGATCCTGAAGGTCACTGAGGTGCTGTGTCACCTACCTGTC